AGGCAGAGAACTGAAAACAGGCTTTCTAGAGTCTTCATCACACAATATCCTTTAATTAACATTATTAGAATTCCAAATGCTAGTTTGCACTTTGAATCTAAACACCTCCCACCCCCCTAGTTCATGTCTAGAACTAGGTACACTCGCAGAATTGCAGGTCAAGCTGAAATCCCTTTGAAAATTCAGCCTTTTGTGAAGAAAAAGTTGATGGTTATTGACAAAATGTTGTAGTCTACCTTGTTACTATTCATGATTAAGGAAAGTAAATATTGTCTGAGGTCTAATGAGAATTCCAATGCAATAAAGTAAAGTGTGAAAGGTGCAATCAATAAGTGATGATGCAACAGTATTCATTTGTAGTTTTGTTTAGTTCATGGTATTTGGTGATGCTTGAAAATGAAGTGTTAAGGAATTAGTGTTACAAGGATTAACATTCAGATTTTATTTCTGATATTGTTATGTTTCTACAGTCATTACATTCTGAACGCTAATTAGCATCTGATTTCTTTTCCCACTAGTTAAGGACTGCAAACCGAAGAATTATAGAATGAAAATACTATGGAAACAAACATCAACATTATCCATGAACATCCACAAATTAAAACTCATGATGTGCATGGCTAATTTACACTGCAGGAGAAAGTACTACCATGATGTCCACGGCTAATTTACACTGCAGGAGAAAGTACTACAATGAAGAACTGTATTTTCCTCATTTTTTTGTGTTAGCGACTATGCTTCAAAGCATATCAAGTTTATGAAGAAAGGGTCTTTTCAAATGTATAACAGATCTCAGAGTCCAAGCTGGATCGTTTATGTCCTACATATGGCAGGGCTATCCACCAAGGGTTCAGTTTTGGATTTACTACAAGTCTTGGATATAAAGAAGCATACTGCCCTATGAAAATGTCAAGGACTAAATCTCAGTTACCCAGTTATTTCTGCAAGGAAACCAATCTCTTCTAGTCCTTCATCAGACTGACTAATTTCTCTCCATTTGGGCTCAACTGGATTGGCAGGCACATAGATGTTGGTCTCTGTCACTGTGCCATGGTATGGGATACCGGTACCTTGTGTCAGAAACTGAAGGGACGATTTCCATCCCTTTCTTCTCTGCAGGCACGTTGTGTAAGCAACAACTTGTGCTGACACACACAGCCTGAAGATACTGAAATTATGTTTGAATATTATTTGCAACTCTGCATTTTCTGAAGAAGCCACATAAAAATTTGGCTATGTGAACTTCAGTGGATCTTGACTGAGTATGTTCACAATGAACATCTTCATGGTTCTGAATATTCTGCTTTATTAACTCCCCTGGCACTTAATCTTTAGATTACAGAGCAAGATTTAGGACATGGATAGAAAACAAGGGCTGATTCTGTTCTAAAATATTAGGTTACATGTCTGTGTTAAGGTGACATGCCTTTTGAAGTCAGCTAGGAGTATTTGGCATAAATCCTATCCAAAGGGCAATTACAGGCCAAACCAGATACCTCTCAAAATTGCTGTTGACTGTGTATGGTGAAAGAGTCCATGCATTTCGTAAGGCAGCTCTACAGTTCTTCACACACTGCTAAAAGCAATAATTACTTTGAAACATTATTTGTCTCTCATAATGTGACTGCTTTATAAATTCACTAAGTAAATGGATCATGTAGCTAAACTTAACATTCGTATTTAACATATTACAGAAGAAATAAAAAATCCTTCCACAGAATATAAGATCCAGACCAAGAAGATTCTCTAATCCATGCAAAAATTATTTTCTTACAAGTAGTCTCAATGGAATTAGGTGGGAATTAGCTGTGACACTGTAAAGAGAACGACGTATCTGTTTTATATTATTGTTCTTGTTATGAAAATGTATTTTCTGCAAAGCCACAGAAATGACTTGACTCTTTCAGTCACGTAAGTGAGATCTCTTGACCTATTGCAACTGAGATGGCATACTAGCAGAGCCTTTAACTTTTGGCAACTTATTTGTTTACGTTTGTTTAGAAACAGCTACATAAGAAACCTAGTTCTGCATGAATACAGTATAATGTGACCCCAACATGTACACAATCAAATGAAAGATAATTATGGGAAATAAAACATGACGTTTCAAATCAGCTCCCTAATAAAGTCTAAAAATACAAGAAACCCTATCATATTAACCAGCAAGAACTGCTCTTTCACTTAAGGGATAGTTGGGTAATTATTCAAACCTGTACAAGACTGGATTGTCAAGTGAAATAATAATACAGAGTATCTCAGGATAATGAGATAGATTTTAAGGCCATTAGCAGTGGCTCTTATTATAATACTGGCCAAGGTTCCCCAAGAAAGAGAGAGAATATTTAATTGAAACTTGTAGAGAACTAGTTTGAACTTTTATATTTGAACAGCTCAGTACTGTCTCATAGTTTCCATTCCTTCCCGGAGAGAAAGGCGCCTATCATGTAAGACTGTGAAATCAGTCAGGCTTTAGAGACTGAAATCCCTGAGGGCTGAAATTAAAACGAGAAATAATTTGAAAATTGAGCCACACTGAAATCCATACAGTTTATATTAAGAATCTTATTCTAGTGAGGTTTTAAGGTCTGGTTAGACACCCAGTTGTCTTCTCTTTCCTGATTCTTTCTCTCATTCAAAACAACCAAACCCAACATATATCTTGTCTGACTTTAGGTTTGACAAGAAGAATTATAGCTTTAGAAGTAACGGCTTTTAAGACTGGAAATGGAGGAAGAGATGACTTTTTCTCCATAAAATAGGTCCTGCTTATGAGACATTTGTATATGCATGCTTCTTTATCGTACGTTTGTTTGTTTTTAACCACTACAGGAACAGGAATAACTCAACAGCTGATGGTCATAGAGAAGCTAGCTAATCCCTGGGAAAACAGATGTCTAGCTTGCAGTTTATAAGGTACAGTATGGCTAATGTGTCAGCAGTTGTCATGGATTAGAAATACTGCTTGTTTTAATATTCTCCTTACGAGCCTCTCCTAGGTACAAAGGTTTCCAAATACCAGACCAGAGCTAGGTCTGGCATGCCTGGCATACTCTAGTGAGGAACTCTCCTCCTCACCTTAATGAACACCTCCTCACCGTGCTCAGCGGTGCTTGGATAATTAGACTAGACTAGGGTTTACAGCAGTTGAAGCAAGAATGCTGATTAAGACTTTGCAAATCAAATATTAAAAGACTGATTAAATATTTTACGATCTTTTTACTTAGGCTCTGATTTGAAGTTTACTTCATCTACTAGCCAGAGATATACCGAAGGTTAATTGATGGAGGAAGAGTAAATAACAGCTGATGCTACTGGCCCTAAGTATGCAAGGCATTTAAGAGTATTCCTAACCTCAAGTGTGCAGTCACTGACGTGCTCATTTGTCTCACCAGGTTACTGTCACTAGGGCTCAGATACGTGATCAAATTACCTCAGTGAAAGTGGTTTAAGCTTATGTGTTTTTCCTTGTATTGTATATTTGCACGTCTCCAATGACACCAAGTAATCCTTTAAATTGTGTTAATTTGATCATGTATCTGAGTATCCAGTCCAGTAAATTGGGATAGGTGGCTATGAAAAGTGGAGATGATGCCTTTTAGAAGACAAATAGCTTCCACAGAGAAGAGAGACATCCAGCAGAACCACTACAGCTCAGTCTACCAGGATTAGAGTATAAATCTCTCCCCTTTCTCCTCCTACAAAATCAAGGGTTTGTAACTTATAAACCTAACTTGACAAATCGCTTTTGTGGATTTTGATTTTTTTTTTAAAGGGAAAGAATTAACAAAACTCTTATAAAGCAATTGTTGGTGATTTTTTTGCTACCTGACTGGGCCAGTATCACTTAAAGCCCATCTAGATCTTAAAGAAAAATTCAGAAGCTCACCGTCCAGCAAGTGTTCTCATCATATTTGGGGCTTGGAGTTGAAAATTTAAAAGCAGTCCAAATATTTAGCTTCAGAAAAGTACTGCTGAGCTTGTGCCTTAACTCCTTTTCAAGAGATGTTTGGTAAGGATTTGCACCTACCAAAGTACAGTTTATGTAACGAGTAGGAAGGGTTATTGGACTAATAATTTTTAACAGAGATTCCTTGTCTTTAATACAGAGCTACACAATAGAACTTAATAGCTTATGGCAAGTAAATAATTTACACATGGATTGTGTCTGAATACAAATGTATACATAAAATATCACAGACAATGAAGCCTTTGGGGTGTTTTTTCTAAAATCAATTTAATTGATTTTGCCGATAGGTCTGCATTTATATTTTTGTAAGCTACATTTTGCTTTACCTACACATGTGGCACAGTCAGGATTTTTAAGGGAGGCAGGGAAAACTGCAAATGAAATTAGAAACTAAGTGCACAGAGCGTAGGTATTTTTGAAGTGTCTAGGGTAAGACACTCGGAAATAACACTCCAACATGACCCAATGGTGTGGCTCATTTAGAAATTTCTTATCAGAAAAGGTCAACCTCTCAGGGTGTTTTGCAGCATTTGAGCCCAATGAAGCTGGCCATGACGAGTTTTCCCCTTAACGCTGAACGTTTTGCGTTGTTCAGCTTCAGTCAGCAGGGTTACTTGCATTTGGCCTGGGCTCCTACTAGAGGGTTGAAGAAGAAGGTTAGTGTTGTGACTAATGCACAACTGAAGGCAGAAGGAAAGTGGTCGGATGGAAACATGAGTGTGTGTTTCAAAGGGAGAGGCACGGGATGATGGCTGCTTTGCCATCGGGAGCACCAGCTTATCTGATGGGCCTGAAAGCTGTTTTTCGCTACAAAATACGCCCACAGCTCATCCTCCCTCTTTCTAACGCACTGCTTTTTGTTGTCATTAACTCATAAAAGCTATGCATTAAAGGGAAGCGCGAAGACAGATGCCGGAGCTGGGCTGGCGAGCCCGAAGGGAGCGGCAGGGAGGCCTGGGGGTCCACTGCCGTCCTCAACCCCACCGCCCACCCCTGCCTGCGCGCTCTGTGGGGCTGAGCCGGCCTGCCTTACCTTTGGGGTGCCAGGGGTCCGTGAACTCGTACTTCCCCACGCCGATCGTCCGCAGCATCTGCACCCCGTTGGTGTTGTCCGGGCCCCCTGCCGTGTTGGGGGGCAGCGGGGCGGCTGCCTGCCCGTTGGTGGCGGGTGCGCTGC